GCTTCGTCCCCAGCTTTGTTGTCCATGTCCATTGGTTATGCGTACATGCATATAAGTTCTGTCGTTTATCTCTTCCCTACCCCCACCACCCCCTCTTCTGAGGGTTGTCAGTCTGTATCCTACTTCCATGTCTCTGGGTCTACCCTGTTCCTCAGACTGTTATGTTCATTATATTCCACAAATAAATGAGATCATGTGGTATTTGTCTTTTCTCAGAAGCATTTTTTTTTATCCTCACCTGAGGACATTTTTTTCATTTTTTGTTCAGATAGAGTGGGAGGGAGACAGAGAAACATCGACGTGAAAGGGACACATCAAGTGGTTGTCATCCGCACAACCCAATGGGGGCAGGGGACAAATTGCAACCAAGGTACGTGCCCTTAGCAGGAACCAAACCCCGGATTCTCTGAACTGCAGGCCAACACTCTAACCAATGAGCCAAACTGGCCAGGGCTCAGAAGCATTTTTAAGCTTACCTGTTTATATTCAGTTCAATAGCGGTTTATTTTCTTTTTAACTTTAATCTTAATATTCTTCAGCTCTTTCACTTTTTTTTTTTTTTAATATGTTTTTATTTTTTAGAGAGAAAAGAAGGAACAGAGAGAGAGGAACATCGATGTGAGAGAAACATGGATCAGCTGCCTCCTGCACACCCTTTACTGGGGATCAAGCCTACAACCCAGGCATGTGCCCTGACCAGGAATGGAACAGGGACCTCTCAGTCCATGGGAGTACACTCAGTCCACTGAGCCACACCGGCGGGCACCTTTTTACTTTTTCACTTTTTACACATCTAAAATTTATTTTAAAATTGGACTTACAGATTTTTTTTTTTTTGCTCAGAAGACACCTAAAATCAAAACACTATTAGTAATGTTCTGGTGTGCTGAAAATAAGTTTTTTCAGTAAGATGTTAGAAAAGGATTTTGTTTTAGAGAAAGGCCCACAATTATTTATATAATTTAGCCAGAAAACATGCCTAAATTACCATTCATATTAAGTAAGCTGAGCAACACTTAGCTAGACTCTTAAAGAGGGTTACAAAAGACAGGAATTAGGACTGGTGGTGGTTTGCATTACTTAAGACCTTATGGCCCTGGCCAGTTTGGCTCAGGTTAGAGCATCAGCCTGTGGACCAGAGAGTCCCAGGTTTGGTTCCCACTAAGGGCACGTACCTCGGTTGCGATCCGTCCCCTACCCCAGTTGGGGCTGTGCGGGTGGCAACCAGTCGATGTGTCTCTCTCCCATAGATGTTTCTCTCTCTCTCTTCCTCCCTCTCTTCCTCCTGCTCTATCTGAAGATAAATGCAAAAGTGTTCATGGGTGAGGATTTGAAAAAAAAAAAAAAAGACCTTATGCATAGCCCGAACATTATTTCATATCTAACCTTCCTTGGCTTCTCCGCCTCCGTGGCCACTTCTTCCATGCCAGTTGCTTTGCATATACCTAATTAAGGTAAAAAAAACAAAGCAACAACAACAACAAAAAATGATTTTGGCTGCTATTTTAAGCCTGACGCATTTTTTTTAAAATATAAATTCTAATGAGTTCTAGAAATGGAAATCGTATAAAAGCAGAAGTCCCCTAGTTTTTTATATTGAAGATAAACTAATGATTGAATCCACCTTAGAAATTCTTTCTATTTGAAATAGAGCACAGTATCCTGGAAAGAAATGAGTTAAAATGGGCTACTGGTACCAGATATACCACTGCATACCTATGCAACCTGAATAGATCACTTACCTTTCTAGGCCTCAGGTCCTCATTTGTGAAACTCTAAAATGTGGCAATACTTGTTTTTAATCAATTCATTAATTACATAAACCTAGGTGAATAAAGCTTCCTTTTTTTTCCAGGAAGTAAATCATATTTTTTTAATTCAGGAAGTAAATTATTAAGCTGGGTTTTGTGTATGAATAAATAGAATGTGGATCTTACAACTGATTTACATGACTCTTTGATCTCCAGGAATGTTTTTTATTAGAAACATATATCAAATTTTTTTCATATATTTATATTTTACATCAAAGTGGATTTTAAACTATAGAAAAGTTAACGTCAATTTTGATTAAAATTTGAATGGCTTCAAAAAACTAGAATATGTTTTATATTTAAATTTTTTTATTCAATTAATTTCAAGAGCAAAAAACTTATCCATGTCTCTCAACTCCCCTGCCCCCACCTCTTGCAACCACCAATCTGTTCTCTGTACCTTTGAGCTTGTTTCTTTCTTTTTGTTTTGTTTTGTTTTTATCCACATATAAGAAAGATCATAGGGTATTTGTCTTTGTCTAATTATTTCACTTAGCATAATGAGGTATAGTCATGTTGTCACAAATGGCAAGATTTTATTTCTTTTATGGCTGAATAATATTTGTGTGTGTGTGTATAACAATTTATTTATCCATTCATCCATCAGTGGACACTTAGATTGTTTCCATATCTTGGCTATTGTAAATAACACCACAGTGAAAAAGGGTACATATGTCTTTTCAAATTAGCATTTTTGTTTTCTTCAGAAAAATACCCAGAAGTGGAATTGCTGGATCATATGGTAGTTCTATTTTTAATGTTTTGAAGAACCTCCCTACCATTTTCCATGGTAGTTGTGTTAATTTCATTCCCACCAACATTGCTCAAGGGTTTGCTTTTCTCCACATCCTCACCAACACTAGTTATTTCTTGTCTTTTTTTTTTTTTTTTTTATCCTCACCCGAGGATATTTTTCCATTTTTTGTACAGATAGAGTGGGAGAGAGAGAGAGGGAGGGAGAGAGATAGAGAAACATTGACGTGAAGGGACACATCGAGTGGCTGCCACCCGCACGACCAACCAGGGCCGGGGACAAACTGCAACCGAAGTACGTGCCCTTAGCGGGAACCGAACCCGGGTCTCTCCGGACCGCAGGCTGACGCTCTAACCGCTGAGCCAAACTGGCTAGGGCTATTTCTTGTCTTTTTGATGACAGCCATTCTACCAAATGTGAGGTGATTTCTGATTGTGGTTTTGATTTGCATTTCCCTGATGATTAATAACGTTGAACATATTTTCATGTACCTGTTGGCTATCATGTCTTCTTTGGAAAAATGTGTATTCAGATTTTCTGCCCATTTTTTTTTTTCTCTTTATTACTTCCACCACCTGCCACCTTGCCCATTTTTTAAATTGGGTTTTGTTTTTTGCTCTTGAGCTATATGTGTTCTTTATATATTTTTTATATTAGCCACCTACCAGATATAGGATTTGCAATTATATTCTCTCTTTTAGTAAGTTACCTTTTCATTTTATTGGTGGTTTTCTTTGCTGTATAGAAGCTTTTATTGTTTATTTTTGCTTTCATTGCTTTTGCTTTTGGTGTCAGATTTTTTTTAATCATCACCAAGACATATGACAAGAAGCTTACTGCCTATGTTTTCTTCTAGGAGTTTTATGGTTTCAGGTCCTATATTCAAGTCTTTAATTCATTTTGAGTTCATTTTTGTGTGTGGTGTAAGAGGGAGGTACAGTCTCATTCTTTTGCATGTGGCTGTCCAGTTTTGTCAATACCAATTATTGAAGACACTGTTTTTTCCCTATATATTCTTGGTTCCTGTGTCATAAATTAATTGACCATATAGGAGTGTGCTTATTTCTTCACCCTCGATTCTGTTCCAATGATCTATATGTCTGTTTTTATGCCATTACCATACTGTCTTGATGACTATAGCTTTGTAATATAGTTTGAAATCAGGACATACGATGCTTTCAGCTTTGTTCTTCTTTCTCAAGATTGCTTTGGCCTTTTGGGGTATTTTGTTGTTCCATACAAATTTTAGGATTGTTTGTTCTGTTTCTGTGGAAAATGCCATTGGAATATTAGAATATAAATATTAGAATATTTATATTAGGCTCAATTTAATTTTTAAAATTCTTTTTTTATTTTTTTTTATTTTTTATTTTTTTTTATCCTCACCCGAGGACATTTTTCCATTTTTTGTTCAGCTAGAGCGGGAAGGAGAGAGAGGAAGAGAGAGAGAGAGAAACATCGATGTGAAGGGACACATCGAGTGGCTGCCACCCGCACGACCAACCAGGGCCGGGGACAAACTGCAACCGAGGTACATGCCCTTAGCGGGAACCGAACCCGGGTCTCTCTGGACCACAGATCGACGCTCTAACCACTGAGCCAAACTGGCCAGGGCTAATTTTTAAAATTCTTAATCAAGGATATGTTTATTGATTTTACAGAGAGGAAGGAGGGAGGGAGGGAGGGAGGGAGGGAGGGAGAGAGAGAGAGAGAGAGAGAGAGAGAGAGAGAGAGAGACCATGTGAGTGAGAAACATTGATCAGTTGCCTCCCATACATGCCCTGACTGGGACCAAACCCAAAATCTAGGTATGTGCCCTAACTGGGAATCAAACCTGTATCCTTTTGGTATATGGGATGGTGCCAACCAACCAAGCCACCTGGCCAGAGTTATATTAAGATCGCCTCAGAGCAACTTTTTGGGAACATAGTATTGCATTGCTTTGTACATGAATAAAAACTTGATAATGATTATTAATTATAACAGCTGCCAGGAGTTTTGATAAATGCATTATGTGTCTTAACTTAGTTAAGACTTATATGAACCCTATGAGGTAGGTACTGTTATTTCCTTCATTTTATAGATAAGGCATTTGTATTTCAGAGAGATTAAATAACTTGTTCAAGTCCACAGAGACCTTGAGACTAAATTGGATCCCATATCTATCTGATTCTGGAGCCCTGGTTCATTATCAGTTTTGCTCTCCTAAGAACATTTTTTTTTATGAAGGGGCTAAACACAGGTGGAAGAAATTGCCAAGAGAAGATCAGGGGAGAATTTAGTGCATTTTGTGTGAAAGCAGGGATTTTGAACAGATGACTTCCAGTGACCCCCATCTACTCCAAAGTTTGTACAACTTGATCTCACTCCTCATTTAATTTGGGGGAGAGGGGATAATTTTTAATTTTTTTTTTCCTTACAAATACAATGAAGAATCATGCAATACTGCCAGCATTTGATGTAATCCTGGGCCACAAATCTGCACACTCCTTTGCAACTGGCCCTGTGATGGCAGAACCTTTCATCTCGCCTTTATTGTTTACTATGATCCCCGCATTATCTTCAAAATAAAGAAACACGCCATCTTTTCTCCGGTATGACTTTTGTTGTTGAATTACCCTCACTGGATGTACCTTCTTTCTGAGCTCTGGTTTGCCTTTTTTGACTGTGGCCATCACCATGTCACCCACACCAGCAGCAGGAAGTCTGTTCAGTCGTCCCTTGATCCCCTTCACAGAGATGATATACAGAATTTTGGCTCCTGTGTCGTCAGTACAATTGATCACAGCTCCTACCAGAAGACCAAGGGAAATCCGGAATTTCACCCCGGAGGACCCACCATGTCATCACTTCGACATCTTGGATGTTGGAAAGAGATAGAAAGGAAGTACACACCTAATTTTTTTATTTTTTTATTTTTTTATCCTCACCCGAGGACACTTTGCATCCATCTTCAGGAAGAGCAAGAGGGAGAGAGGGAGGAAAAGAGAGAGAAAGAAAAGCATCAACGTGAGAGAGACACATTGAGTGGTTGCCACCCACAAGACCCCAACCAGGGCCGGGGACAAACTGCAACGAGGTACGTGCCCTTAGCAAGAAGAAGACCCGGGTCTCTCCAGTCCGCAGGCCGATGCTCTAACCACTGAGCCAAATCGGCCAGGGCTGTCACTCCTCATTTAAATTTAAAATATTATTAGTTGTAATTTATATAACAAATAAATATTGATTAATCCTGACAAATATGCTTTTACATGCAACAGAATCCTCATATGTTCTCCTGATTACAGATCATTCATTTTAAGCCTATTCAAATAGTACATGCAAACTGTAATTTAAAAAGAACTAAACTAAAACTGTCAACCACATTGTAATATAGTTTTTTGCCTTTACAATATTATCCAAGAGTATTATACCTAAAGCACTTTAGATAACATTATTCTAATTTACTTTATTTGGATTTTTCTATCTCTCAGTGCTTTGGTGTGTAAATGTACTTAGCTTTTCTTTTGCAGGTTGTTATTGTTATTTCCAGGTTATTCAATACAGACAAAACTTTTAACATTGCATGATATATTCTATCATTTAAATTTTTCTCTAAGTTGGTTTCAGTTAGTCTAAAAACAATTTTGCTTCCCAACTACATTTCAAGTAGTATGCTAAATAAATTTAATTTGATAGTTAATGCCCGGCTGTTGTGGTCCAGTGGTTAAGCGTCAACCCATGCACCAAGAGGTCGCTGGTTCAATTCCCTTTCAGGGCACATGCCCAGATTGTGGGCCAAATCCCCAGTGGGGGGCATGCAGGAGGTGGCCAGTCAACGTTCTCTCTCATCGATATTTCTCTCTTTCTCTCCCTTTCCCTTCCTCTCTTTCTAAAATCAATAAAGAAAAAAAAATTTTTTTTTAATAGTTAACTGAGGATTCAAAATTATAATATGTTGGCCCATATTAGTTTACATATCCTGCACTTGGACCTTTAAGTGAGGATATGTTTTTAGGCATTGGCTGTAATATATAAAAGAAAATTGTTAATAAATATATCTGCTTTCCTGATGTCAGTAGATCACATTAATATAATTTAGCCATAAAAACAAAACTGTTACAAAAATACTATAGTAAAATAAAACAGGTTTAATCATTAAACTGAATCATATTCCGCCTTTTCTGTAGTCCTCTAAATCAGGTAAGAGACAATGAGAGATTTCTGCATACAAGAGAAGAATTCTACAAGGAAGTAATTTGGGACAGGGATTGAAGGGCCAGTGCCACAGAAAACCTGTCTCTTTCCAGGGAATAATTCATGCTCAAATCATCATCACAAAGCAGTAACCCTGGACACAGTTTTTGGGCCAGGGCTGGGCAGGTTACCTAAATTGGCACATTGGAACTGAAGAGAAAGGTCTAGAAGAGGTTCGGGAGGAAACATGCCCTAGTGGCTGCTGGAAACTGTCGTGCTTTAATGAGGGAAGTCAGTCTCTGAAGACAAAGCCAACTTACATAGAGAAAAATAGAGAACATCACAGGCAAATGGAACCAGAGTGACCGAAGTGAACTTAAAGACCTCTCTACCTCTGGACTTCTATTTGTGTGAGTCGGTAATTTTTTTTTTAAGCCGTATGAGGTAAATTTCTGATACTTGCAGCTAAAAGCCTATTAAAGGAATTCTTGATGTATTTAGGGATCTTTACAATGTTTCCATTATATGTGTTGTAAATATTTTTCCTCAGACCATAGATTATCTTTCATTTACCTATCAGACATTAAAATGTATTTAAAATTATAAAGATTAAAACAAGTATGGTATCATTATTCAACTAGGAAGATAGATTAGTGGAATAGAATATTGAACTCAGAGACAGATTGTGTGTGTGTGTGTGTGTGTGTGTGTACATATATAAAATAATTTATAATAAGATAAAGTTGGGGAAAGATGGATTTTTATTGTTGTTACATAACTCAAACCACAGCAAAATAAGTTGTAATTGATTAAAGTTATAAATGTCAAAGAGTAAAGCTATAAAAATGCTTACAAAATAATAATAATGATATAGTCTTGGCACAAGAAAGATCTTTCTAGGTTTGATGCCAAAAGTAAAAACCAGAGACATAGAAAGGACTATGGTTCAGACTGACAAACCTCAGAGTAGGGTGGTGGTGGTGGTGGGGGGGGGGTGAATGAGATGAACCAAAGAACTTACATGCATTTATGCATAACCAATGGACATAGACAACAATGCTGGGGGGGGGGGTAGGATAGGGAAGAGGAGGTCGGTGGGAAAAAGGAAAAATATCTGTAACAAAAATAAATTAATAAAAATTGAAATAAAAAAGAGTAAAAACCATACAGGAAAATATATGGCTACACAAAAATTAAAATGCGTTCCATTTTTATTGATTAGCATTTTCCAGTTGGGAAAGTAATATGAATTCATTGTTCATTGATATAAAAACATCAAACAATACAGAGGTATATAAAAAATAATTAGTGTCCCCTTACTTTCTTCAATCCCTCACTCCATAGGTAACTACTTTTAATAATTTGTTTCTATATTTCCAGACCTTTCTCAGTACATGTATACACATAAAATGTGTGTACCTAAATACATAACCTTTTCAAAACAGGAAACATTCTAAGTGATATTTTGCACCTAGTCTTTTTCCCTCAACAGTGTATCATGGATGTTTTTCCTCGTCAGCACATACAGAGCTACTTTACTTTTTCTAACATTAGCCTTGTATATTCTATTATATGAATGAACAATAATGTACTTAATCAATCACTTACTTATGAATATTTTAGATTTTTTCAGTCTGGAAGACATTATTAAAGAGAAATTTATAATAAATATATGAAGGTTTACTATTAGTAATATATATATACATAGCTCTTTCAAATCAATAAAAAATCCAAACAGCACATTTATCTGAGAAATGACATAAAAGATGATATTTACATAGGAAAAATGGACAATAACATGAAAGACAATTTAGATGAAATATATGCATATATTTAGCCAATAAATATTTGTATTTACTAGTAATAAAGGGGAAAAAATGAAAACAATGAGATACTGCCTTTCATCCAGCAAAGAGGGGTGAAAAAAGAGAAAGTGTGGGTGTTGCCCTGGCCGGTTTGGCTCAGCGGTTAGAGCGTCGGCCTGCGGTCCTGAGAGACCCGGGTTCAGTTCCCGCTAAGGGCGCGTACCTTGGTTGCAGTTTGTCCCCGGCCCTGGTCGGTCGGTCGTGCGGGTGGCAGCCACTCGATGTGTTTCTTTCACATCGATGTTTCTCTCTCTCTGTTCCTCTCTCCCCCTCCCACTCTATCTGAACAAAAAAAAAAAAAAAAGAAAGTGTGGGTGTTGGGGGGAAAGGTACTATTATAAACTAAGCTAGAAGAGCTATTTCTTTTATTTTTAATGTTCACCTGAGGATATTTTTCCATTGATTTTTAGATAGAGTAGGAGAGAGGGAGAGAGAGAAACATCAATGTGAAAGAGACACATCGATTGGTTGACTCCCACATGACCCCAACTAGGGCTGGGGATTGAACCTGCAACCCAGGTGTGTGACCTTGACCGAAATTGAACCTGAGACCCTCTGGTCCAAGAGCCAATGCTTTAACCACCGACCCAAACTGGCCAGGGCTAGAAGAGTTATTTCATATCTTTTTTCAGCAGTACAGTTTGAGTGTTTATTAAATGCCTTAAAACTACGCAGTTTTTTTAAAATCCTCACCCGAGGATATTTTCTCTTTATCATCAGATAGAGTGGGAGGGGGTAAAAGGGAAAGAGAGAGAGAGAGAGAGAGAGAGAGAGAGAGAGAAACATCGATGTGAGAGAGACACATTGACTGGTTGCCTCCCACACAACCCCGACCAGGGCCTGGAACAAACTGCAACTGAGGTATGTGAGCTTGACTGGAATCGAACCCTTGACTCATTGGTCCGAGGACTGACACTCTAATCTGACCCAAAAGTGGCCAGGGAGCATTGTGTGTGTGTGTGTGTGTGTGTGTGTGTGTGTGTGTGTGTGTGTGTGTTTGTTCTGTTTTTAAAAAGGATAGTTTAGCCCTGCCAGTGTGGCTCAGTGGATTGAGCATCCTCCCATGGACTGAGAGGTCCCAGTTCAGTTCCGAGTCTGAGCACATGCCCCGGTTGTGGGCTCGATTCCCAGTAGAGAGTGTGCAGGAGGCAGCTGATTGATGTTTTTATCTCTCTCTCCCTTCCTCTCACTCTAAAAATATCAATAAAGACATATTTTTTATTTTTATTTTTTTATACTCACCCAAGGACACTTTTGTATTTATCTTCAGACAGAGCAGGAGGGAGAAAGGGAGGAAAAGGGAGAGAGAAACATTGACGTGAGGGAGACACACTGAGTGGCTGCCACCCACACAACCCCAACCAGGGTCGGGGACAAGCTGCAACCGAGGTACGTGCCCTTTGCAGGAACTGAACCCGGGGCTCTTCAGTCCGCAGGCCAACGCTCTAACCGCTGAGCCAAACCAGCCAAGGCAATAAAAACAGATTTAAAACAATAATAAAAAAGAATGGTTTATTGATTTTTAGAGAGAGAGGAAGGGAGAAGAGAGAACCATCAATCAGCTGCCTCCTGCACACCCCCTACCAAGGATCAAGCCCGAAACCCAGGCATGTGCCCTGACCCGGAATCAAACCAGCAACCTAAGTGCTCCAGATGATGCCCAACCAACTTAGTTACGCCAGCCAAAGCTATGCATAGCTTTTTTTATCCAATGGGTTCATCTATAGAAAATTTAACTAAATAATAGGCACCCTGGCTGGGTGGATAAGTCAGTTGGAGTGTTGCCCCGTACACCAAAAGGCTGCAGGTTTAATTTC